CCGGCACCGCTTTCCAACAAGTTCTTTGCAGAGAAAAATATTTTTTCTCCCTCCAGTGTTGGGGACGTACGTGACTCGTTCCAGTCGCTGGCAAACAGGAGGGCCTGACCTCCTCCCCTCGGGCGTCCTTGAAGCCTGGCCAGCAGCGGCTCTTGCGTTCCTTGGAAATCTGGGGCCTGAGGATGCACTTCTGACACCAGGGCTGGTAACCCTGACAACAGCCCCGGGGCGCTCACTGGGGTTTTGTTTTTTTTTAAAAAGAAAATTGTCCTGAGCTATTTATAATTCCTCCTTCTAAGAACGAATGTAGTCGTTGCAGAATGGACTCCCAGGTGATTTTTGGTTTGGTTGGTTTTTTTTTTTTCCTTTAAACTGAGCCAAGCACCAGGGAACGCAATTGCTGTTCCTCCGCTCGGGCTGGAGCTGCGTTTGCTGTCCTCGTTCAGCGACGATTTGGTATCGGTGATGTGTCCCGGTGGCATCTGTTGGCCAACAGCATGTGTTTGGGTGGGAGGATGAGGAGTGAGATCCAAGCCCCGCTTGCTTCAGTATCATAGAATCACAGAATGGTTTGGGTGGGAAGGGACCCCTAGAGGTCACCCAGCCCAACCCCCCTGCAGGAGCAGGGACACCTTGAACCACAGCAGGTTGCTCACAGCCCCGGCCAACCTGGCCTGGAATGGTCCCAGGGATGGGGCCTCCACCCCCTCTCTGGGCAACCCCTGCCAGGGTTTCACCACCCTTCACTAGCGTGCAGCTGCATCGGTCACGACCGAAGGACGGGAAGGAACGCGTTAGCAAGTGGCTGTTTTGTAAAAATGCTTTGGTTTTTTTTTTTTGCTCAGTGGGGAGAGCCCCCACAGCCCCCTCCCGAGGGGCAGGGTAACGCAGACCTTGGCAGTTGGTACCGTGGGTCACGCTGAGCACTAAGCTAAACCCTGACCGCTGTGGTATGGTGGCAGCTGGCTGGGGCCCAGACAGAGCCCCGGGGCGTGTGATCTCCATCGGTTACCCATGCAAAGGAGAGCTCGTACCCATCCTGAGTGATTATAACGGTGCCCGTGCTTAAAATCCAGAAAGAGACGTGATCAACAGCTCCTGAAATCCGAGCTACACGTAGGCAGCAATTCTCCAGTGATCCAGAGCCAAATAAGTGAGAATAATCCTTGGGAGAAGTGCAAACCAGCGCGCGGAAGGATGGAAGTGCCCGTTCCCAGGCAGGAGGTGCACCCTGTCCCCAGCCTCCGGGCAGGGAGCGCCGGGGGGCGGCAGGGAGGGCGGG